GGAAATTAGAGTGCGCCCATTCCAGTGACCTCAGACGTCAGCCTAGAATAGACAGGGGCAGAGAGAGGGGTGGGGGGGGAGACAAAAACAAACACTTAATATCCGGAGCAGAAAAGAAAACGAAGACCCTGCAGGACAGTGCTCCTCCTCTTGCCTATGCCCTGCTCAGACCGGGGGGCAGAGCATCACAGTGTGTGGGGCTTGGGGGGTCCCCATGGAGGGCACAGGGGGCTGGAGCATTAAGCCCACTCAATGGCTATCCCCTCTCCTCGCTGCTGCCAGGTAGTGCCCGTCCCTGGCACTGCACAGGGCTTTCACTTCTACCAGCATCCCTCCCACGGAGAACAGGCAGCTGTCCCAGCTCCCCCAACTTCTTCATTTTGCTCTGAGTTTTGAAACTATGGCAGAAGCTGAGCTATGCCACATCCTGCCCCCGGCCAGGTTATCTCTGCCTCCACCACAGCACAGGCTGCAGCTCACCCAGTCCTTCCCAGTAATGAAGAGCCGCTCGTTTTTCTTTTCTTTCTTTCTCTTGTCTCAAGAGGTGGGGGGGTGGGATTGGCAAGGAGCTGCGAGGAAAGCTGCTAGGCCATGCCTGCGGGCACGGGGCAGACCCCGTCCCTCTCCTGAACGGTTGGAGAGGTGCCATGGGTGCGGGCAGCTGGACAGCGGGGCAAGACGGGATGGTGGAGGTCTGTTGCAGGTCAGGGCTGAGGTGGGTTGGGTGTAAGGAGGAGAAAGCATGTACAGACCTCATCGGTGCTCCCAGTCCACACCCCAACGAACGTCAGAGTCGCCGCCAACAGCCCCCCCCGTCCTCAGGTCCCTGCCAGCAGCCTACCACAGCTGCGCACGTCCTGGTGTGCCACCAGCTCTGCCCACGGTGGAGGGCATGGATGGGCGGATGGTCGTGGCTTGCACGGCTGTGCCAGGCGGATGTGAAGCCAGCGAAAGGACCTGTCTCCCCTTAAGTTCCCCGTCCACGAGTCCATAGGCGCAGGCAAACAGGTCTGTGTGAGTTCCCCAGACATGGCTCACTGCCAACACGGAGCTAGTCCCCAACTCCTCTCCAACTATGCCTCCCCTATGCATACCCCTCGCAATCCCTTGCCAGATCCCCAGTCCCCTACAGCACAGGCAGCATCGCTCCCTCAGGCTGGAGGCGTCAATGGGAGCGCTCAGCCCCTGCAAAGTCCTGCTGCGCCAAGCTTTTCGGCATGAAAAGGAAGCAATCAGGCCATTCCCATGTCTTGTGTTTATTGGACTGATTAATTTCACTGGATGGAGGAAAGCCTTTGGGAGGCCTGGAAGCACGCAGAAGACGCTCTGAGGCAGTAAGGGATGCTGGGATCCCGGGGAGAAGGTCCCAAGTGATGCCTCCCCACCACCGGCTCAGCTCTGTCCCTGTCCCCATCCCCTGCCTCATCTGCAGGAAAAGACAGTGGCGATTTTGCCCACCCATGAGCAAAATCCTTGATGAGGGTGGTAGGTGGGCAGGTGACTGGCGCAACCCACGGCTGCTCTGCTGGCAGCGAAGCAGCTCCCGGTCCCCAGCCAAAGCGCTGGTGGGGAGAGAGGTCCCGCTGGTGACGTCTGGTCCCCGCTCGGAGGTCTCAGCGAGCCACCATCCATCCCAGCTGGCCTCAGGAAGCCCCTCCTGGCCCATGGTGCCAGGAGTGAGTGTTGCTCCCACCACGCCAGCAGGACAGGTTCGGCTGTGGCGGGAAGTGGCGGAGGTCAGCGGGGGGGGTCTCACCTGGCGTTGATGAGGTACTGCGCGAGGCTGATGTTTGCTGGGGTTCCTGTGATGGTAATTTGGCGCTCTGATGACCCTTCCGTGGCGTTGGCGATTTTGATCTGCGCTCCCGACATCTGCCGAATTTCATTGATTTTGGTCCCTTGGCGTCCAATTATGCAGCCTATTAGCTAGAAAAAAAGCACGGAGGGAAGG